GACCAAGGTCAACAAATAAAATAGCACAGTCCCAATATTACCAAAGTACATGGCAGGCCATTAATTCAAGTCCATTATAGGTCACAAGGTCAGCAGAGCATGGCAGGCTGCTGAACATGGGTACATGCAGGGTCCAAGCATGCCATAAGGTAGAGACCATTCCCAAAGCTGATTCTTATATATGGGAAGTAAACTACATACCCAAAGCAGCTACTCAGCTGCTTGTGGTAGATCCCACCATGGAGTTGATTGCCAGTCTCATCATGGAGAATAACTACCACCAGCTGCCCAACTACCCAACTAGGCCTAACCAGGTTGACACACAAACCATAACCACCATAACTTGAGTCCAATATCAATGCCTATGGAAGCAGCAGTCAAGAAATCAAATGACGTATTGCACTGGGCAAATCTGCTGCAAAAGACCTCTTTAAAGTGTTGAAAAGCAAAGACATAACTTTGAAAACCAAGAGGCACCTGACCCCAGCCATAGTATTTTCAATTGCTTTATATACATGAAAGAGCTGGACAATGAGTAAGGAAGACTGCAGAAGGACTCATGCATTTTAATTACAATGTTGGCAAAGAATACTGAATGTCCCATGGACTGCTAGAACAAAGAAATCTGTCTTGGAGGAAGTACAGCCGGAATTCACCTTGGAAGTAAGAATGGCCATCCTTCATCTCTTGTACTTTGGTTATATTGTCAGAGGGGATCATTCCCTGGAGAAGGATATGATGCTTGGTAAAGTAGAAGGATCAGCAAAAAAGGAGAAGATCCTCAATGAGATGAATTGACACAGTGACAGTGATGATGGGCTCAGCATAGCAATGATTGTGAGGATGGTGCAGGAAATGTTTCACTCTGTTGTACACACAGTCACTGTAAGTTGGAACTGACTTGACTGCACCTCACAACCACCACAACGATATGGAAGGTACTGTCACCAGGGGTGGGCCAGCTTTCCATTTTGGCAAAGAAGAGAAGAAGGCCCACAGGGAAGGTGCTGCAGTTATAGGGGACTTTGGTGGTTTGGACTAGCCCCAGAGTATACTGGGGAAAATGTCTGCTGTATATGTTCCTGCTACTTTCTGGCACTTTGAGCCTACTTTCAAGGAACTCACAATCCAGTCTATGGGGTATACACCTTATTCCACATTGAAATGCACCAATGTAAGTGCAGTGACAGAAATAAGCTCAAATATATAATGGGAATATAGACGAAACATCTTCAAAGGTGAGGAACTTCTCAGGAGAGAAGTTTCAAAGTAGAAGGGGACAGCATCAGCAAGGGCACGGAGGTGAGAACAGTATGTTGGCTGTTGATTTATTGAAAAGCTTGGCGAGGGGAGTGACTGGAATAGTGCTAGACCAGATCACAGAAAGCCTTTTTGCTCCAGAACTCAGACTTTATTCTACTGACAAATGGTTTTCAAACTTTTTTTTTTAAAAAAATTTTAGCCTTGTTCAAAGCATTTGAAGAAGCCAAGCATTTGTAAAACAAGTAAGAGTTGTTCTGTTTGAAATTCTAGTGAGAAAACCAGAGACCCATTCAACTCCTCTAGCCTCAATGGCATCTCTAAGACAGCAGTTCTTAGCTTTGTTTGTAGATCTCGATGCCTAGGCCACATCCCAGAATCTCTGAGAAAGGAGAGGAGGGGAACGTCAGGCATCAACATTTTTAAAGCTTCCCAAGTGATTCAGCCAAGGATGAGAACGACTTGCTAAACTATTGCTAAAGATAATAATCATAGACACTGAAGCATTTTCCACTAGAATAGACACAGTCCCAGGATGGAGGCTGAGTAGGAAGGTTGGAGACATGAATGAAAGTACTGTGATGTGGGCAAGGTGTCAAGGATCTGTATTAGTGACTGCTGTGTAGTGGATCTGTAAAATAGGTGCAATGGTGTCCTTGGATCATGATAAGGAAGAGGTCCCTGGTGATTCTGGCTCAGAGATTCAATTGATAAGTGAATGGAATGGGAGGAAATGAAGACTAAGGGTGCAGACTTTTTTTTTTAATGAGTCTGGAAAAGAAGAAAAGTGGAGGGAGGACCTATACTGACACATTGTAGGCTCTCACATACTTGTGGAAGGAAGGAATAACAGTAGCTCAAGAGCAATGTGGAATCAAGAAGGTATTTGTTGTAAATTGGGCAGACTTGAAAAGGATACTTACAGAGAGAGGAAAGAGAAGGGAAATTGATTGAACAAGACTCAAAAGAAAAGGGGAGAGGATGTTCTAAAGGGATGAGATGGAAAGGTTCACCTTTAACAGGAGGAGGAATCCATATCTCCTGATACTTGAAGGAGAAGAAGTCAGTGGCTGACTAATTCTGGAGGATGTAATTTTGCCTCCTAAGGAGTCCCTGGGGAGCTCTGGTAGCATAGTGCCTAAGGCACTTGACTGCTCACCAGAAGGCTGGCGGTTCAAACCCACCAGCCACTCCTCGGAAGGAAGGTTG